TGTAACATAAATAACATGATAAATTTTGTGACATTTTTACTTGTGTTTTAGGGGACGAAGGAAAAAATAATACAAAAATAATATTTATTATTGTCGGAGTTGTCATTTTGCTTCTTCTAAGTTTTATTATAATGGTCTGCGTTTGGAAAAGAAAAAAGAGACCGCCAACAAAAGCAATTACCGCACCTATTGGTACATTTGTGATTATCTTTTTTTTTTTTTCTCTTCATATTTGTGTCAGAATGGAAATTGTTTTTTTTTTCACTTGAGTAAGTAATTTTTTACTTCTAATGACTATATCAGGAGAATTACATTGTGAGGAAATGACACTTGAAACAGTTGTAGTGGCGACCCAAGGTTTTTCGGATTCAAATAAAATCGGTCAAGGTGGTTTTGGTATTGTTTACAAGGTAGATTAACATATATATACACATAAGATATCTACTAGTTCAGTAAATTCCTTGTAATTTATATAATATACATATAACAGGGAAGGTTACTTGGCGGACAAGAAATCGCTGTGAAAAGATTGTTGAAGATGTCAACTCAAGGTATCGATGAATTTAAGAATGAGTTGAGTCTGAACGCCAGTGTCCAACACGTCAACCTCGTCCAGCTCCTGGGATACTGTTTTGAGGGTGGTGAGATGATTTTAATATATGAGTACTTGGAAAACTCTAGCCTCGATAAGTTTATATTCGGTTAGTGCCTCACAGTTTAAGAAGTTGTATTTTTTAAGGTTAAAAGTTATTGAAAAGAAACTAATGTGAGTTTGGTTTTCTTAGACAAAAGCCAAAGCTCTAAGCTAACCTGGGAGAAGAGGGTCCAAATTATTAATGGAATCTCTCGGGGACTTTTATATCTTCACCAAGATTCGCGGCGTCCGATGGTCCACAGGGACCTAAAACCGAGCAACATATTACTTGATCAAGATATGATTCCGAAGATATCAGATTTTGGGATGAGTAAACTCTTCGACAAGCGTACGACAGCAGCTAACACAACAAAGATCGTTGGAACTTTGTAAGCAAACAAATTATCAGCATCATCTTTACATTTGGAAATAAAGCAAACACTTTACAAAAACTCACAATTGTGTTTCTTGTTTCTTGACAAAGCGGTTATATGTCTCCCGAATACGCGGAGGACGGAACTTATTCAACAAAGTCAGATGTTTTCAGCTTTGGAGTCGTGCTTCTTGAGATTATATTTGGAGTAAAAAACAGAGACTTTTATATATACTCGGAGAACGAAGAAAGTCTTCTTACATATGTAAGTTTAATAATCATCCAAAGCATTTTCGTCTTCTTTTTCTTTGTTGTGATTGATAAACGCTTAAAGCTTTTTTTATGGTGAACAGATATGGAGGAATTGGAAGGAAGGAAAAGGGCTCGACAGCATAGATCAAGTTATCCTTGATTCATCAACATTTCAACCACACCAAGTTAAAAGATGCATACAGATTGGTCTCTTGTGTGTTCAAGAACGTGCAGAGGATAGACCCACGATGTTATTAGTGTCTGTCATGTTCGCAAGCGACACAATGGAGATCGATCCGCCTGGACCGCCTGGTTATTTAGTCCGTAGAAGTCATCTTGAGACTGGTTCCTCGTCACGAAAGAAGCTAAACGAAGAATCTTGGACTGTGGCCGAAGTAACCTACTCGGCCATTGAACCTCGGTAATCAAACGACGTGTTTCGCAAGGAATTTAATTATGGGAGAAGGATTCTAAAAGTTCATTTCCAGCCGGTGTGGGAAGTATCTTGGAACTTGATAAAAAGAAAACATAGCAAAGTACTTAAATTTATAATGTTTTCTAATGTTTTAGTCTGTTTTACTATAAAGATCAATAGCATGTAAATCAATAGCAGAAAATACAGAAACCTTCTCACGTTACAAACTACAAAGTAAAATTATGAAGTACTTGCCGAATTATCTTGATCTCTAATTTACAAGTTTTTATTTATAGGAATTAATGTCAATAGTAATTGAATAGTTAGTGCCTCACATTTCGTTTCATATTTTTAGACAATAATGTATATAGCTCTCAGACTGTCGCAGTTCACTTCATATTTTTATTGCACAAAACCACTTCTTTTAGCAATCTTTTCATCCTTGATGCATGCTCTCTGTAAGATTCAAATACTCTGCTTTTGTGGTGCATTAGGCGACAACATGTTGTAATCATAATCTCCAATTTTCAACATTTTCAGACACTCTAAAAACGTAACGTTTTGCAGACTCAATTTCTTTCTCAAATTTTAGATACAATGAAATAATCATTTAAAAAGGTTATAAGACCTGAAAATGCTATCCCATATGTTACAAGAAAATAAAAATTCAGACGATTTTTGAATGCGCAATTTTCTATGTAATTAACGATTTATGATGGACAATTTTATCTACATTGTGCTTATGATTAGTAGTTTACCTTGCAAGAGAGGAGACCACAACATAAAACTCTATGTCTCTATCTCATAGTTACAATGTTAGATCATTTTGGACTACATTGTACATACAAACTAGTCTTATATAAATCAATTTAAAATAGAATTTCGTTGGTAGGGTTTAGCTGATTTTTGTTTATATGGTTTAAGATATACAAAAGTGGTGATGGATTTGACCAGTCGTCCTAGACCTTAAAAGGACCAAACCGGTCTAAATATATGTCCATGGGTGCATGTATAAACACCAATATGCGTAACATTTGGAATTATGAGATATCTTTTTTTTTTGTTTTGTCATCTGAATGTTATTGATAAAACCTTGAAAGATACAACTACATTTTGTAATAATTTTATGTAACAAATTATTTCTTAACATATTATTTTTGGAAGTCAAAACTTTTAACCAAATTTTTTGCCACTCGATCAAAGTCTTTGATATTCATTCTAAGTAAAGTTTAAAAGCCAATGTGGGACTAATTGATTTTGACTTTGATGGTTGTGATGGTGGGATTTGGAGAACGTTCGAGTTCCACGTGATTTAGCTCCCAAGGATATGTATGGACGCTTTTTAAAAAAACTTAGAGAAGAGAAATGTTCTAAATGTGTAAAAATCAGGACAACAATAATAGCTTATAAAAACTTTGTATCACCAAAGGTTAAAAAAGATTAATAAATTGATGAGAGTAAAAATACAAAAGTGTATAGGAAAAATTATAATAAATTAAAATAAATTTAAAATTAATTAATATACTTAGAAATAATGCTAAATTTTCTAAATTTGGATATTGTAAATTCACAATATTTCTGTAATCATATTTCGTTCTCGGTTCGTAATCTCTGTCGATCTCGATTTGGTTTGGATCGATCTCATTGATCTCTTAATATCCATGGCAAACGCATATATGGTAACACATGTGAGATTGGACATGTCTTCAAAATAATGGTATTATACTTTTCCGTCGAATCAAATCGAGTCGTAGAGTCAAATCGGCTACAATATTGATACAGCGAGATATTTGGAAATATTCCAAATATCTATTATTATCATATTTTAATTAATTAATAATTATTGTTTTAGAATATTCTATGTTTTAGGGTTTTTGGGTTTTATTATAAATAGCCTTCTTAGGCCTCTTATTGTATTTGGTTGTTTTTGATTAATAAAATTAAAGAGCTTTTGATAAGCACTGAGAAGAGTATTCTCAAACGAAGTCTTTGAAATCTTTGTTTATCGTGAATCCATTGATCTCCGATAACACTAGAATTCCGAGCTACGATTGTCCTGCTTGAGATCCATTGATACTCAAGATTACTTTCGTAATCTATCCCTAGAAGCTTCCGCTACGTTAGTTGGTATCAGAGCCGAAACGGTTCTTCGTTTACCATGTCGTTCGGGTGTCTCTATCAAGCCGATAAATATATGTTTTCTTCAACAGAAGATTTGTATGAAGATTACAAGGATATTGCTGGTGATCCAATCTATGATGTTTATGAAGATGACGTCATAGTTACTAATTTGGTTTTTCGAGGAATTGCTTTCGAGAATCTGACTCGTGCAAAATCCGGGCGAAATCAAATCTGTGCAAAATTAGGGTTTCCTGCAGAAATCATGAAAAATCAGACTTGTGCAAAATTCGTGTTTTCTGCAGAAGATATGGAAAGTCTGATATGTGCAAATTTCGTGCAATATCCGACTGGTGCAATAATTGGATGTGGAAGTCGAAACTAACACAATCGAGATTTGTCTAGGGTTTTAATTTAGGGATACGATAAAACGTGAATTCTCAAAGAACAACAGAAACGATTGTGACCAAAGATGGTGTTCTTGATCTTATTGATGAAAATAGTAGTTTTGATCGTACAAGAGTTTGGTCGTAAAAGAAAAGATGTTTGTGCTGTGAGAGCTTTACGTAGTGTAAATTCTAGAGCGATCTCCCCCCCCCCCCCCACTTTGCGAGAGCCTTGAATCTCTTTATATAGGGGTGATAAACCGCCTCTCCAGCGATATTCTCGGAAGATTTCCATTTATCTTGAAGTCGGCGTAGAATATCGCGGATTAGGATAGTTTCCTTATTCTTTGGATTTTTTGGAAGATTTCCTGATTTGAGTCGATACTTCGTGATTCTTCTTTATCATTTCCGGGTTCATCGGAAATGATCCTTCTTTTTCGGAAATGATGCCTTGCTTGGAAATGATACTTTGAAGACGAATATTTACTAAGTCTTTACCTCGGGTGATGATGAAGACTTCACCTCGGAGAAACTTGTGCAATCGGCTCGGGTACACAGGAAGGACTGGTTCGGGCACTCTAGGATGGCTTGTTCGGGTGTCCCCGAGGCGATGGGCTCAGAAACTCCCAAGGCAACTGGGCTCAAGTACTTCCGAGACGACTGGGCTCAGGTACCCCCAAGGCAACTGGCTCGGGTACCCCCGAGGCAATTGGGCTCGGGTGCTTGAGACGTCTCGTTCAGGTATCCCCGAGGCGATGGGCTCGGGTATCCTAAATCGATTAATTGGATAACCCGAGGCGAATGATGCGATGCCCCGAGGTGATCACTGAAAGAATCCCGAAGTGCTCTAAGTCTGGCTCGGCGCCAAAGGATGGAATCCGACCCCAACAGTTAGCCCCCCAGCTTGTTAGTTTGGAGAACCAAGCGTGACGAGCTCTATGACGATTGGGCCGAGCCATTTACTTCGGACAGTTCGGTCCTTTTAAAGTTTTGGGCGATTCGAATTCCTCTGTCGTTTCATCTTCTCTTGGCGTGTGACGGTTGGAATTCCTTCTCGAGAAGTGAAAAGGTCCTTTCGCTGATTCCCAAGATTTGTGCGGATGTGAAGTGTCCTATTCAATTCGCGCGTGCCCGACGCGCCTTAGATGCGGACACAATGTGTCTTATTCGGCTCGTTCGTACCCGACGCGCCTTAAATCCCTATAAATGTTAAGCCTCCGACTCATTCTCTCATTTCGCAACTGCAAAGGAAAATTCTCAAGGTTCGTTCTCTTCTCTCACTGATCTTGAGCTCTTCCATTTTATATTTTTTTTTCGTTATACTTCCGTCGTAGCGCCACCATTATTAGATCTAGGTTGATTTCTCCGATCTGCCAAGCTTTGTTCCTCCGATTAACTTCTTCAATTGCCCGAGCCAGAAAATGTCTCTTTTTGATTCCATCGATTCGCCCCGAGGCGACACTCTTCTCCCTGTCTACAAGAGAAAGATGGTCTGGAGTTCTTCGAGTGACCACGAGGCGGACGCCACGGACCGTCATATCGAGTTGTACCGTGGCAGTGATGCAGAGTCGGCTTTACGGGAAGAAAACCCGAGCCGTTTTATTGCTCGGGAAGACACGATTGCAGATGTGGCTCGGGATCATGATTTGCCTGATGATCCCGAGGCGATTTTGAATAGGAGGGGGATCCATCCACCGGCAGTTGGTGAAGCCGGAGTCTCATGCTGGCAAAATGCCCCCGAGGCGCCTCTTCTTCCAATTAAGGCCGAGGAGGTTCATTATGACTCTGACGAGGCGGCCAGGTTGCTTCAAGCTAAAGTTCAAGCAGCCAAGGGTCAACAGAAGAGGAAACGAGCCAAGAAAGCTAGGAAACCCGATCCCCCGGGTTCCACCTTATGCACGGAGGACTCCCTTCGGGATCTCAAGGCCCGGTTCGGTTTTAGCGAGGGGATTGAACTAAGACTTCCAACTCCGAATGAGCGAGCAGACGATCCGCCCGAGGGGTTTTTCACCCTTTACGAGGGGTTCTTCTACCATTGCTACCTTTGGCTTCCAATCTTGAGGCCAATTTTGGCGTTTCTGTGGTCGTACAAGATTGCTCTATCCCAGATAACGACCCGAGGCCTGCGGCATCTAGTGGGGATTTTAGTCCGAAGTATTGAGACGGTCAATATTGTCAGCCTTAGCCACTTGAGGAATCTCCTGGAGATCCGGCGTATACCAGGCCCTGTTGAGAGATTTTACATATCTCCGAGGCCAAATAGGAGGGTTATCGGTGGTTTCCCGAGCAAGGATGAGAAATACACCGATAACTTCTTCTACGTAGCCTTGAATGAGTATAGTGTCCACGAGGACTACTTAGGGAAAGTTGTTGGAAAGTGGAGACAAATCGGTACTATGCCCGAAGCCGTATTTGCTGTTTTGTTTTGCTTTAACCTTTTTACTGACCGTTTTTCTTGTTCATGCCGATCGGGACCCGTCGTTTCTTGAAGACGTTCCCGAAGGTTTTCTAGATCTCCACGACGAACTAATTGCTCGGAAGTGCGATTGGACGAAACACTTCTCCCAGGAAAGAATTGAGAGAGCCTTGTGTTTGCTGCACGGAGCTCCCTGCCAGTCTTCTTCCGAATCGTCCGATCATCGCCTAGATCATCTTATCGAGATGCAGGGCGCTGCGCAGTCTCTGAGAGCCAGGAAAGCTGCCGAAAAGAAGGCGGCTA